AGTTAACATACATTAAGCTACGATTTTGGAGTTACAGCGTTTAGTTCTCTATCTCTCTCTCTCTCTCTCTCTCTCTCTCTCTCTCTCTCAGTCTGCAGTCTCTGCAGGAGGACCTGTTGGTGTGCACGGCGGATGGTTACCTCCACATGCTGCACTGGGACGGCGTGAGGAACGGCCGGAGAGCCGTGAACCTCTGCACCATCCCCTTCTCCCTCGATCTGCAGTCGTCCCGCGGTGAGAGAGGGCGAGAGACATGCTGAATACATTTCACTCATGTTGTGTGTGACGGTGTAGTACAGATAGCTCCAATGCTAATCCGATAGCTGGTCTTTTCCCAAACGCAGCTGCCAGTTCTTTCCACATCACATTTACTCCAGCTGTGTCATCGAGGCTGAGCAGCAGAGGTCAGATTCAGCTGCTGCTGACTCGTAAACTTATATCACCGGTCCAGTGAAATCAAGCGGCCGCTTCCCTGTCCACCTCCCTGTATCTACACTTAGGCCCAGTCCCATTTCACCCCTCGCCCCACCACTTAGCCCTTAGTCTAGGGGTAGGGTGTCCTGATTCTTGTTGAGATAGAGGGGGAGGCTGAAGTGTTGGGGCTACATGACCCTCCAAACGGAGGTTTTTCAGAGACTCCAAACAGAGTGATATGAGGAAATAAGAAGAACTGGTAAGATGGAGAACAAGAGACCAAAGAAACCCACAAATGTGAGAATTTTCTCCCTTAAAAATTACTGTAACTATTGTTTTATCTTAGTTTAATGTTGTTTGTGTATTTTGGTCGTTTTCTTCATAACAAGCATAAAAATCGCTAGTAGTATGCTAATATCTCGGTAGCTAGCTAGCTAACTTTCCCGTTCCACCTTAAATAGTGCAGCAGTTCTGATGCCTGAAGCACCAGAATGTAACTGCTACACCATTTAAGGTGGAACGGGAAAATTCGATCAAGAATCTGGTGAATATCTGACTTCAGCTTCATATCACTGAAGAATTAGTGGTGGTGATAATAAATAATTGCCCCCCTCTTTGAAGATCATATGATGCCCTAAATGTAACTAAAGCCCAGCAGTGAGGAGCTGAACTTTACCCTCCTCTGCTGTCACTGCAGACTGGCAGGGTCGCCTACAGAGCAGCGCTGGTAGCTGTTAATGAAGTGATGCTCTTTATTTTTTTTATTTTTCTGAGGGTCCCATTTCGTAGGGCAAGATTTCAACCACTACCCCTTGTAACTCAGTTCCAAGGGGTTAGGGTGACACTAGAAAACAAGGGGTAGGGGGGAAAAAAGAAGAAATGGGACTGGGCCTTATTGTCCACTTTATCAGCTCCACTGATCATATAGAGGCACTTTGTAGTTCTACAGTTACAGAGTGTAGACCATCTGTTTGGACCCTCACAGAGCAGGTACTATTTGGGTGGTGGATCATTCTCAGCACTGCAGTAACACTGACGTGGTGGTGGTGTGTTAGTGTGTGTTGTGCTGGTCTGAGTGGATCAGACACAGCAGAGCTGCTGGAGTTTTTAAACACCTCAGTGTCACTGCTGGACTGAGAATAGTCCACCAACCAAAAATATCCAGCCAACAGCGTCCTGTGGGCAGCGTCCTGTGACCACTGATGAAGGACTAGAGGATGACCAACACAAACTGTGCAGCAGCAGATGAGCTATCGCCTCTGACTTTACATCTACAAGGTGGACTGACAAGGCAGCACTGTCTAATAGAAAATGCTGTAAATGCATACTTGGGTCTCTATGTTGGTAACATGAGCGTATCTGTGTGTTAGGTGGTCCTTGTTTGGACCTGAACGGGGTCTACGTCAGAGATATGGAGTACTGTGCGACTCTCGATGGCTTTGCTGTCGTTTTTGACGACGGAAGACTCGGCTTCATCACACCCACCGCCAACAGGTTCTCCACAGAGGTGAGACAGTGAGATGTGCACCCATGTTTGTGCTGCAAATTACAGATACCTCAAGTCTAAAAAACGTCACTTGAATGTCTTACACGCTTCAAATGTCCGTCTTTCTGTCAGTCGTACCGTCAAACCCAGGCTGAATCCCAAACGGCTCTGTACTCCCTAAATAGTGTTCTAGCTATGGAAGTTTAGAAATTCTAGCCTCTCCAGTCAAACAGTGCATCATTTATCGAGTGTGGATGAGTCTGAATCACAAATGACTGTTTCTTAGCTGTATTTTGCTCTGTTGGGCTGCAGGATCCAGTATTTAAACTCCTGCGTAGTGCACTATGTAGGGAGCAGGGAGCCGTTTGAGATTCAGCCCCAGCGTGAGAAGAGCGGCACCGCTGGATTGGTGCTAAAGAAGACTCGGTTGTAATTTGGTGACCAAAAAGTACCCATAAAAACAAAGGTTTTTACCTTAAACATTGCTGCGTTATCATATGTTCATTCTTATACAACAAAAACTTCATTATAAAATTCATGAAATGACTAAAATATGCAGCGATGGGTGAGCAAACGTTCTCCTCATTCAGCCGTCCATGGTTGCGTAGCAACGAGACCGTGTTCTAAAGGAACTACATTTCTTGACGGAATACTTTATGTCGATCATTATCATTAATAACTTAAAATACACAATTCTTCAGAAAATAATTTATCATATTTTATGCTGGCCGCTGTTTTATAAAAGCAATAAGAGACTGGAGACGGTGCGTTACTGTGATTTCATCACGGGAAGGGAGTTTTAGGCACTCCGCTTGGCGTGAACACCCTTCCTGTGATAAAATCGCAGTAACCCACAGCCTCTCATGGCTTATTGCTGTAATATGTGTGTAGCTGTCCTCAAGGGCTTTTATTTTGGAATTTTGTAGCTCATTTTCTCCTTGGTGTAGTCGAGGCCAGTTCCACCAGCTGGCTAGTCCTCCACAGATCACCTGATGATACCAAGCTGGGAGGGAAGGCCAGTGCATATTTCAAGCTCCGCCACATCTTTCCAAACGCAGCGTGAACACATTTGGAGGAGAATGCTAACTGCTAATTCTGTTACCTTAGCTAACAGACGTCCGTGTTGGTTAGCTTCGCACTGAGAGATTATGAGAGAGGGGTGGCCATCCTACCCACCCAGAGAGAGCGAGGACAGTTATGAGCTCTCGGACTCCCGATTACGGATGGCTGTGGCATCGCTGGGGATCGAACTCGGTCAGACTTCAGTCCTGGCAGGCCACAGCTCTGTAGACCTCAGCTCATAAGTGGCAAGCCTTCCAGAGCTGAATTCAGAGCGTTAGCTGATTTTATATGGACGTTAGACGTCAAAGAGAGATTTTCCCCAAATCGGTTAATGATATTTTTTACTGTAATTCACTGGTAAAAAGAAAATAAATCAATAAATGAAAGTAATCAGCAGCCAGAATCTTCAGTCAGTGGACCAAGAACACTGAGATGGGTTAGTCGACAGGCTGCTCTGTGCGGTGGGTCCCACTTAAGGCGTTACTTTGATGCCCCGGTGATACCGGGACACACTGTTATATCACATCAGCGTCAAATAACAAATCGATTGGTATCAGATGTGGTATAACTGTATAGTGATGAGTGCTGTAATCTGCTCTGTGATTCTGAGCTCCACTGTGATTCTGAGCTCCACTGTACAATGCAGTGTTTACGTTCCCCATTTATATCCTTTATATTGTGAGTGAAAAGTGTGTGTGTGCATTCAGACGTGAAATTACAGTGTGTGTGTGTGTGTGTGTGTGTGTGTGTGTGTGTGTGTGTTTGTGTATATGTGTGTGTGTGTGTGCAGCAGTTGCAGGGCGTCTGGGCTGCAGATGTGATGGACGGCACATGTGTGGCAGTCAATAATAAATACAGACTGATGGCCTTCGGCTGTGCGAGGTATGAGAGAGTGGTGATCACACTGACTGTGAAAACTGTCGCACTGACATGAAGCTCTACTTCTCTCTGTGTCTCTCTCTCTCTCTCTCTCTCTATATATATATATAAAATTACCATGTTGTGCAACAAAACCTCAAATGGTAATTTCACAGGAGAAGGAAAAAAACTTTCTTTACTTTTAAAGTCAGTGGAACCAGAACTTTTTTCCAAGTCATTTTGGACCGTTTCCTTTAGACCATTCATCATGAAATTTACACACAATGTAAAGAACAACAGGCTTTTTCAAATTATGTCAAAAACTGAAAAATGGGGATAAAAGGTTTTGTCCCGACAGCAGTGAAGTTCACTATATTGCCAAAAGTATTTGCTCGTCTGCCTTCACACGCATATGAACTCTAAATCCATAGGGTTTAATATGATGTTGGCTCACCTTTTGCAGCTATAACAGGTTCAACTCTTCTGGGAAGGCTTTCCACAAGGGTTAGGAGTGTTTATGGGAATTTTTGACCTTCTTCCAGAAGCACATTTGTGAGGTCAGACACTGATGTTGGACGAGAAGGCCTGGCTCACAGTCTCCGCTCTAATTCATCCCAAAGGTGTTCTATCGGGTTGAGGTCAGGACTCTGTGCAGGCCAGTCAAGTTCTTCCACACCAAACTCGCTCATCCATGTCTTTATGGAGCTGCTTTGTGCACTGGTGCGCAGTCATGTTGGAACAGGAAGGGGCCGTCCCCAAACTGTTCCCACAAAGTTGGACACATGAAATTGTCCAAAATCCTAAAAAACAACCCCACACCATAATCCCCCCTCCACCGAACTTTACACTCGGCACAATGCAGTCAGACAAGTACCGTTCTACTGGCAACCGCCAAATCCAGACTCATCTATCGGATTGCCAGACGGAGAAGCGTGATTGGTCACTCCAGAGAACACGTCTCCACTGCTCTAGAGTCCAGTGGCGGCGCTTTACACCACTGCATTCGACGCTTTGCATTGCGCTTGGTGATGTAAGGCTTGGATGCAGCTGCTCAGCCATGGAAACCCATTCCATGAAGCTCTCTACGCTGTTCTTGAGCTGATCTGAAGGCCACATGAAGTTTGGAGGTCTGTAGTGATTGACTCTGCAGAAAGTTGGTGACCTCTGCGCACTATGTGCCTCAGCATCCGCTGACCCCGCTCTGACATTTTACATGGCCGACCACTTCGTGGCTGAGTTGCTGTCGTTCCCAATCGCTTCCACTTTGTTATAATCCCACTGACAGCTGACTGTGGAATATTTAGTAGTGAGGAAATTTCACGACTGGACTTGTTGCACAGGTGGCCTCCTATCACGGTACCACGCTGGAGTCCACTGAGCTCCTGAGAGCGACCCATTCTTTCACTAATGTCTGTAGAAGCAGTCTGCAGGCCTAGGTGCTCGGTTTTATACACCTGTGGCCATGGAAGTGATTGGAACACCTGAATTCAATGACTTGGATGGGTGAGTGAATACTTTTGGAAATATGGTGTATCTAATGAAACGTGCTAATTCATGAGAAAATCCCGAATGTGGTCAGTCAAGCCGTGTTTGGTGTCTGTGGTTTGCTGTTTAGTTTTAGCACTAGAACTCAAGGCTATTGCAGCTAACAAGTAATGGAATCTTATACCCCACCAATTAGCATTGGTGAGTTCTCGTTAGTATTAGCAGTGCTAACTATGAAACCATCACCTTAGACCCTGTGTTAGTTGTTCAGCATCTCTAACAGACTTGATCATGTGGTGTCTGACTCTGTTATCAGTACACGTGGACTAAAGTGCAGTAGCATAGCTACAAACAGCAGCAGCAGCCTGGAAGACTGAATTCAGTCTATGCGTTTGTGTTTAGCTCTGTTAGAGCGCATTCACGGTCCACAGCAGCTACGACAGCAGGAGTGTGTCTGTGTTTGATGAAGTGTCCTAAGATAATCATAGATAACTGTATTTTTCTGTGTGTGTTTGTGTTGCAGTGGCTCTGTGTTGGTCTACATGATCGACAGCACTACAGGATCAATGCAGCTGTCACACAAATTGGAGTTAACCCCCAAACACTACCCAGGTGAGTTACAGCGCAGTCTTTAATTGACCAGGATGTTAACGGCTAACCAAGGGGTCAACAACCCAGATGTGTTAAGAAGAGCCTATTTGTCCTTTCAACAATAATCAGTCCAACTTAGGAGCCATTTTATTGAAGTACCATTTAACCATCTTGGCTGTAAATGTGTCTCAGTATGTGCTGATGTACTAGTTTAGACTAAAAATATAACATAAACAGAAACGCAGACTTACTTTGCTCTGCTTTAAGCTTTAGCTCAGCTGTGGCCGCTTTTCTCACATCTCCAGCAGGAAACTTTTCCACAAAAGTAAAACAGTTTCTTGTAAAATGCCTCTCAATGTTCAACTTTTTACGAGGCTGAAGTCGCTTCTCATTCGCCAGCTGCTTGTTCGAATTTTCCCGTTCCACCTTAAATGGTTTCTGAGGCGCCAGAATGTAACCACTGCACCATTTAAGGTGGAACGGGACAATTTGAACAAGAAGTACAAGAAGAAAACTGTAATTATGTCAAGGTTGTCACAATAGAAGTACCCTTTTGGTGCTACATAGAACCATTTTCAAAATGGTTCCATATGGAACCATCTATAGCACATCCTCCATCTGAAGAACCATTTTACCATGTAAAGAACCATTAAGCATGAAAATGGTTCTGTGAGTGTTTATGGCTCTATATAGAACCGTTTTCTTTTCCAAAGAACCCGTCAAGGACCTGTAAAAGTGAAAGTCCTCAGCGGTGAGAGAGCCGTGATTCAGAGCTGGTTAATGAGCTTCTCCTGGGTTCAGGTTCCTTCAGGAACCGGAGTATCAGAGGTCACTCCAGCACATTAAATGGTAGGATGCGGTCACAGCACTGCAGATGATCTGGTGTGACCTCTGACCTTATTTCAGTAGCAGTGGTGGTGGAGTTCATGCTGGGTTTGTATTGATGTGTGTTAATTTGAATAATGCACTGCTGCCCTCTAATGGACAGTCTGAATATAACACTGTTGGTTTGTGAAGGTTTATTAGGGACTTTCTGCAGGTGAACTGGGTTTTTAGGGGGATTCAGTGTTTTTTATGTATTGAGCACCACAGTAGTTTTTTTCTACAATGTATATATTTTTATCCCATTAGTTTATATTTGACTTGTTTATATTGTTTGTTCTATCTCTCTCTCTCTCTACCTCTCTCTATCCTCTCTCTATCCTCTCTTTCTCCATCCTCTTTCTCTTTCTCTCTCCATCCCCTCTCTCTTGCTCTCCATCCCCTCTCTCTCTTTCTCTCTCTCTGTCACTCTACTTCTCTTTCTCTTTCTTTCTCCATCCTCTCTCTCTCTGCCTTTCTCTCTACCTTTCTCTCTCTCTGTCTCTTTCCATCTCCTCTTTCTCCATCCTCTTTCTTTCTCTCTACCTCTCTGTCTTCTTTCTCTCTCCATCCCCTCTCTCTCTTTCTCTACCTCTCTCTCTATCCTCTCTTTCTCCATCCTCTTTCTCTTTCTCTCTCCATCCTCTCTCCACCCCCTCTCGCTCTGTCACTCTACTTCTCTCTCTCTTTCTTTCTCCATCCTCTCTCTCTCTCTCTCTCTCTCTCTCTCTCTCTCTCTATAC